GTCCCATTCAATATTTGGGATATATGTAACTGAAAAATTGTGTTGTTTATCTGCAATTAAAATTTCAGTCAATGTCCTGTATTTTTGTGTCTCAAATCTGGCATTCCTAGTAGGGGAGACAGATTTGAAACAAAAAAAGTGTATACCTTATGTGATAATTAGTGCAATAGAGAAAATTAAATAAGATAGTAGGCATAGAAAGTGGTGGTGGGGTATCCAGGCAACCTCTGTAGTAAGGGGACATTTGAGCCAAGGCTGAAGGATGTGAGAAGTGTGCAAAAAGACAAATGATTTTTCCAAAACATTAATAACACTTACAGGTTGGGGCTAGGATTTTTATTTTATTTTATTATGTCATGAAATGATATATTTCTATAAATTTCAAAATATGTACGTCATTTTGTACCTCCTACCTTCACCCAATTTTGTGTTCATATTCATTTGCCATTAGGAAACCAGGGTAGAAAATTAAATTAAAGAAAACTAGAGAGAATAAATAGGAATGGAGAGCAGAAACCCCATTTTCTTAACTCTTTCCCAAACAGTTGTATCTAGAAGTCCCTGTTGGGTGCCTCGCTGTTTTCAAAGAATTTTCCTCTACCAGGTGTTACTTACCCAATTGCTGCCAAAGCCACTGAAGCCCCAAAGCCCTATAAAAGGACACCCAGGCCTCACCATGGCTGCCTGCAGAAGGTGACTAAAAACCAGTCCTGCTCACCCCTCAAACCACTGAGATCCCTCTGTGCACTGTCACTGTCATGAAAAAAGCACACTCAGTGTTTCAGATAGGTGTCAGTGACCACCAATACCCCCACCTCCAGAGGCAGGAGAAAACCTTAAAGACTGATGCCATGTTCACAGTGCAGAGAATCTAGTCAGTGATGTTATGATAACGTTGTATGGTAACAGATAGTAGCTATGCTCCTGGTGAACGTAGCATAACATATAGAGAAGTTGAATCACTATGCTGTCCATCTGAAACTAATGTGACATTGTGTGTCAATTATACTCAAATTAAAAAATTAATAAAGACAAATAAACCTAAGGAAGAGTTGAAAATTGCAGAAAAAAAAAAAAGACCAATGCCATGTTCTTCTCAGTATCACTCTTTCCATCCACAGCTGGTCCATTTTCCTTGTAGTTATTTTCCTCTTCTGTTTAAATGAGTTCTCTTTGAAAATGCAGTACTTAAAAGAAGCAAAATCAGTTTTGACAAGTGAATGTAAAATTATATCATGCTAAAAATTTTAAGCTACAACCCATTGTAAATTCCCATTGCCAGAACAGAAAACAATTGCCCTCAGGCGAGTGATATTACCTCCAAATGACCTATTTCCCTTTAGCACTCAATCTCATAAGACAACTCCATTCCTTCCAATCTTTCAGTGTTCTTTCAAGTTGCCCCTGATTAGCAGTACCTGAAATAATTGAGTCTTGAGTGATGTCTTACGTTAGAGTTCTAAAGAGCATTTGGTTTGAGGGAGAGAGAGAGAGAGAAGGGGAGGAAGAAAGAAAGAAGAAAATAGCAGGCCGGCTTTCCTAAAAGTCAGTCCAACTTATTTTTAGCTTAAATACACACATCATCATTAGTGAGTAATACATAGGGAATGCTTTAGAATTTAAACTGTAAGAGAGAAAACCTTATCAATCTACCTGTAGTTAAGATGTTAGCTGCTGTTTTTCATTATGACTATCTTTGGAATATCCTTCAGTACTTGTGAAATGCATTCAGAAATAGATGGACAGATTCTCGTAACAAAAAGGAGACCAACTCTCTACACCCAGGAAACCTAATTGTCATTTTTTGTCTGTACTTTTCTGACTTTCTTGCATATGTATATTTTTACAACATTATGTAGTGATGTCATTGTAACTTTATTTGAAGGGGACTCATAATACTTTATGCTCATACACCAGAAAATATTAATATACTACACGACATATGGTTCATTCTTTTCAATACTTCCTTTTGACTTAAGTCTTTTTATTTCATGAAGTGCAAGAAAACTTTGCTCAAAAAAAAAGTTCTGTGACCTCAATTAGATGTCCTCTTAAGTTATTTTTGTATGTATCATTTTTTTCTAGTTCAAAAGTTCGCTCTTTGGGCACAGGTGCCTGTCATGCCTATTTCGACTTTATCCCATGAAACACTCAGGCCAGAGTAGAACAGGTAGAAAATTCTCACTAAATGTTACTTGAATGAATTAATGCCTTCCAGAATCCCATAGCTCGGACTTGGCGCTCCGAGTTATAGGAACCTCCTAATCTAAGTTTGAATATATAACTTATTAGAAAGGTAAAATGCTGTGAGTCACTTTCTCACTTTTCCTTCTTTCTATTTTCCCTTGGTTCATTCAGGAAATAGCTTTATTTATTTAAAGAGCTTTAAAATTTTGTGAGATACCTATTGAAATTATAAACACACGAAAAAATATTTAACCTTGCAAGTAATAAATGTAGAACTGAGCAAGAGTAAACTCTCATTTGTGCTTATTAAAATTGCCCCCAAATAATTAAAATTGTGATATCCAATGCTGATGAAGTTGTGAAAAAGTAACACAGAGTGGGGGTCTATCAAAACAGATAAAACTTGGATCCTTTTGGAAAGCAATTTAGAAATATTTACAGAGGTGGGTGTTTTAGTTTATCTTTAATAGCAAAGATTGGCAACAACCAACTATTCAACTGTTTGGGACAGATTAAACATATGATCACGCCTGAGTTTGATAGATGATAATCAAACTATTCACAAGACAATCATGAATACTATGTGAAAACAAATTTGTAGTATCAAATAATAAAAAATCAAAATGTCATACTATGTAATAAGCTTACAATTGCTTGAAAATATGTAAGCATAAATAAAAAAGACTAGAAGGAAACAGAACAAACTGAAAACAGTTATTATAGGGATGGAATCATAGGTGCATTTTTTTGTTTCCTATTATGTTAAAAGATTATTTTAACAGTATATAAAAGTTTTAAAACAGGATCAAGTTTTAGTCCCTCGGTATTCATATATTAAGAAGGATGTTAACCAGATACCTAAGCAATGTCTCTCTTCCTTGCTTCAAAATCTCAGCGTGTACTTTGTTCAGTTCCAGGGGCTTAACCATTTTTTTATTATTATTCTGGCTACCATGGTTATTCTTTGAAAGTCTAAACAGAGTTTGTATTGTTTCCTGGCAGCATCTCTTATTTGCATTAAGCCATGAGTTATGATATTAGTGCATCCTGTTGTGGATTCTTTGAAGAAAGCAGATTTGATAGCTCTTCTTCTGTTGCAGAGTAAATGATAGTCCTCTTTCCAGGCACATTCTATTTCTGAGTTCTTACTCTTTGTGATGTACAAATGGCCAATCAAAATTTTCCTATAATAGCCATTGCCTTTCTGTCAGCACTTTTGCCATTTATCCAAGGAAAGTGCAAGAGTTACAATTATAGTGTAACTTTATATACAAAGCAGAATTTCTTCCATGAAGTTAAGACTTTAGCAATTATAATAGTCCAATATAGTAGTAAAATATTTTTTGCTCTTCTAGAAGGATAGTGTAAGTTTCGTATTCTTGGTTTATCTGGGAGGTGAATATAAATCATCTTTATATAAGTTATATTTAATTCAGGTTTCCATACATTCTTGAAGGGTCATTTATAAATGAGGACTATAAGCCAAATGATAATGAGGATAGAAATAATCATATGTATGCTCTCCCAATTTTTAGATGCTTTCATTCATTCTGGAATGCATCATATTGTTACGAGCACAACCTCCTAAGCTAGATCATAAGCGTTCAAATCTTGGCTAGAGTTGTGTAAAACTAGAAAAGTTGCTTAACCTCTCTGTGCTTAATTTCTTCATCTCTTAACTAGAGATAAAGTGGTACTTACCTCATAGAAATTTGTGAGAATTAAGTGAATTGATGAATGTAAAGTTCCTGGCACTTAAAAATGGTACTATTATTAATGTGCATGTTTTCGAAGCTGAGAGCACAAATATTGAAATGGCACAATCTCTGCCCTGTGGGTGACTTAGAAAACATGCTTAAAAATCAACTAAATTTGCTGTGAACTTAAAACTGCGCTAAAAATAAAGCCTGTTTTTTTTTTTAATCAACTAAGGAGCAACTTTACTCCCTCATTGGAAAGAAGAAAGCTGTCCCGTCATTGGTGCACACTCTAAGGGGCTTTGGGAATGTTTTTAAATGAAAATGATTCTAGTTGATGTGACTTGGAGCTACATGGAAGCAGCAGGAGCTTATGTATCTTACCCTTGCCGTTGGGCACTTCATGACTTCTCCTCTTTGGAAAACAATTGCTGGTTCAGAGCCTAGGAAAACTGCTATACAACCTCTTCTTACTGAGGTGGGAAACTTGTCTTACCCAGTAACCATCATCTTTCTCTGGAATGCCTACCACTCAATAGGACAATGAGAGCCACGGTTCTGAATGTTTCATTCTAATTATTTTTTACAGCGAAGTTGAGAAGAGAAACCAAAGCCATTTTTACTTTTGACTTTTATGTCAAATGTGTCTGATTTTGTTGGTGTTCAAAGATGTGTGTGTTCTTTAAGCTTTAGGTTTGGAAACACTCATTTGATTAAGTCTCATAAATATAATGATTTAGTCTTTATTTTCCTGAGCTGATGAACCACTTCAAAGTTCTCCATCAAGAGAGCTTATGTTTTCAGATGTCTTTAATTCATTCCACAAACATTTATTTATTGCCTACAAGGTACCCAGCACCATGCTAGATATTCATTTCCGTCGGTAAGTTGCTTCAGCTTTCTTAATGGAGAAAAGACTGAACAAAGGAAATTAACCCTGTTTTATCCTTGGCCCCCAGCACATAGGATTTTGGACCAAATGAGCTAGTTTGTATTTACCCTAGTAGGCACTTATTTTTCTACTTCTAGAGCATTATTGGATAGCTATCCTCTAATGATCTATATAATGTATGGATTTTGTGTATTTTGTTTAATAGTATCTATTTTTTTCATGAGGGTGAGCCTGGGTTGCCTGGAACAGTAGGACAAAATGGAATGCCAGGGCCAAAGGTTAGTATAAATGAAACCAAGCAGAATCATTTGAGATATGAGTTTTCAGGAAATTGTACAATTTATAAATTGTATTTATAAAAAATAACAATTTTTTATATCCCACTGGTTTTACTTGGATGCAATATTTGTCAGTAGTATAATATGCTGCAGTATAGAAGTTTGTGACTAATGACTAAATTGTTTAAGATTCTCATTAGCATTAAAAATGCAGAAAAACAAATAAGATAACAATTGTCAAAATCTTTATTCTGAGATACTTCGATAACATGAGAAAAAGCCCATATTTCAAATATGACTCTTGTCATTTTGCCACTTAATGAGTGTATTAAAATGTAGGCCATGTCCATACTGCCTCAAATGTGCATAATATTTATAAGACTTATGAAAGATGATTTTCATAGTGCCACTGTGGCCTTTCTTCAATATTTGGTCACCTCCGACACTTACACATATAACCAGTTAATCAAATGAAGAGCAGAATAAAGATTTGGCATGTTTTGCTTTGTGTTTTTAAGATGTTTACTTTTTTAAAGTAATCTCTACACCCAATTCACAACCCCTAGATGAAGAGTGGTACGCTCTACCGGCTGATATGGCATGTCTAAAATTTAAAAATGGATATAGTCTGAATTACTACATAGGGAAAACATGTAATGAGGATTTGGGGGGGTTGCAAATTTTCTTGGTTTTTTTGAAGGACAAATGAATCTGTTAAATATAAAAAGATTGGTGACAGTTTAGTTTAAACCAAACAGGCAGACAAATCCCAAATCCTTTGATGAGTGAACATCCCTTGAAGTACATAACTAATGTCTAATCCCGTCAGCTGTGCGGGTGTGTATCTGTACCCACAGATGCCTGTCAGCTGATTTTACAGATCACATTGCTATTGACAGGCGCCTAGGACAGACCTAAAATTTATAGACCTGCCCTTTGTCCTGCAGGAGAAGAAAGGAAATATTCCTTCTGGGTCTACAGCCATTCTCCTGTCTTTTCCCCTCTCTTGCTCCACGCTAAATAGCCAAATAATAAGAGTTAATGCTTAATGCATGTTCTCAGGTCTATTCTTCTGTTGCCTAGCAACCATCAGGATGGATGTTGAGCACTGAAAGGTGGCCAGAAATTCAGAAAGCCAAAGGGTCAGACTGAGTCCCAGCAAATGAAAAGAGTCTTGCCTCCAAACTGACTTCGAGGGGTTTTTAATTTTAAAAAACACAATAGTCATCTTAAGCCAATCTTTTTTAAGCAGCCTGATCTCATGGCAGCACTTACTGATGCTTTTCATAAGAGGAATATTATCATAATGTATGATTTACTTTAGAATTTTCCCACTCTATCACCTATGCCTTCCTGGGTAAAGTGAAAATAAGGATTCTCTTCAAAGCACAGTTTGGCATTTTAGTCCTCATACTGTCCAGGTCATTATTTTGAATGAAGACATTCTCCTAAACTCGCTTTGACTCTGCCCCATTCTAGTCTCTTTCCTGAAGGTACCACTGCCGCCTAAAATATACCTGATTTGGAACATGCTGGTTACCAGCAGGTTAGAGAGAATTCATGATACTCTGAAGGGGTCCAAGTTCAGGACCATGTTTATGATCATGTTTGAAGAAGACAGATGGGAGAACTACACAGACTCCAGAGCCCTGAAATAATCTATACACTGGGGGCTGCTTTGAGTAAAAGACCATGAAAGGATGTAGCCCACCTTACTGATTCTGAGTTTGAAGGGAATAAAAACTTGAAAACTAAGAAGCTGCTGAAGACATTGAATTGCTAGCACATTGCTCTTAATGCCCCAAAAGCTGGATTCTGGATGATAATTTTAAATACCTTTCTTTAGTCCTTTAAAAGCAAAGAATTAAGATTACATTTGATATAGATATCCATGCCCAATTCTTCAGGAAACTCATCTTACCATTTGTTTTCAATATAGCAATTCTATGTTGCCAAAATAGAAAGTGTTGCATATAATTGACTTAGTATGTTCAATATCTGATTTTGGTAGGTGGTGTTTAATTGGGTGTTTTATTATTTAATGTGTCACTCAATCTTTGTTCTTTTGCTCAGGGAGAACCTGGAGATCAAGGCGAAAAGGTAAGAATGATTCTGCCTGTAATTATCTTTTTTTTTTCCCTAAAGAGATATCAAACCAAACTATATAGACGTATGGATGACTACATAGCAATAGATATAGATCCATAGATAAAGATAGATCTAACAACCACTGTTCGTGTCAAACTGTTAATTAGTAGAAGGAGAGAATAATGTAATTCTTATGTATGGACAGAGGTTTGGGTAAAAAGGTTTAAAGAAATGGAGGGAAAGGGAGAAATTTGAACATTCTATGTTCAGCTCCTAAGTGGTTTTCAAAAATCCCTAGGCCTGCAAAACTTCTGTTTTTGCCTACTTGCTATTGCCACCCCAGTGCTTTTCTAAGCATCCATATCTCTCCCTACTGCTTCTTAGGTCATGAAATCAAAGGAATACAGATGTTTACCTGCAACAAATACATTGGAAATTGCCCCACAAAGAATTCCTATAAAAAAAGCAAAAAGAGAAACAAAAGGAGGAGGAGAGTGCCATATGTTAAATTTCTCACAGACGTCCTTCCTCACTGCTTTTGGGGCGTCCTGATTATTTTTAGACTCTCAGTGCATATTGTGGTGCTAATTTTCCTGGTTCTCATGCTATTTACTTTAATAATGCTTGAGAAATGTGCTGCCTGCGTAGGAAGCTACCAAGACACTGCATCATGCTCTTCAGAAGTGATGTGATCGTTCTGATAAATTAATATCATCACTTCTAATCCTAAAAGAAGTACATCTAAAGACCCCGCACACTTCCTGAATGTAACTATTTTTCGGCACTGTGAAGCAAAAATTAAAAAGGCACTTATTTAAATGGAGGGAGAGCAAAGCAGAGGGGATAGCTCGGTCAAACCCTTCATTTTGCGACCACTCTGAGCCAGTCTTCCTAATAAGAAGGTTTGTTGTGTCTGTTTTGTTTTTTAATAAAGGGATTTCCAAGCAATCTTTTGAAGAGTATGCTAATAGGCTGCCTGTCAAAGGTTCCTCATAAGAGATTATCAGTACATTTATTTGGTGTCCAACCAGTTCCTTGCAATTAACCTGAAATTAATTAGTCATCAGATCACTCTTTTGTGTAGAAATTAAGGAGGGGAAAGGATCAGTGCCAGCACCATTCCAGGGATTCATCAGATAGAGCCACTCGGGCTCCCGGGCTCTGTGGTGTGTCGGTCACCATAGACAAACACCTGAGCAGGTTAGCTTCATACGTATGTGAAACACGAAAAGAAAATGGAGAGAAAAAAGTAAGTCTCTCTCCCCCACATCTCTTCCCTCTTCCAGGGAAACCATCATCAGTACTTTATCTCTTATTTAAAGGAAATTTTTAAATGATGTAAAAGTGACCCCTTATGAAGCTAAACAGAAGGGTGTTCCAGCTTATGTAATCTATGCACAATAATTCATTGTTACCGCTAATGGCTGTCATTAACAGCTTATGCTGCATCGGATACTGGCCTAGTTGCTTTACACACAGCATATTGTTTATTTCTTATAACCCCATAAAGCATTCTTGCCCTTCTGTTACACATGTGAAACGTGATGTAGGGAGGATTTCATTTGCCCAGTAGGTGCTGGAGCTGGGCTCAGTCTCTCTGGCGCCAAAGTCCATGATGTTTCCACTATAACATGCTGTAAGATTTAAATGAAAGAATTCAGCTTTGAAGGAATCAAAGCATGGATAATGAGTGAATGACTTTTTTTTTTTCCTAACGCATTGCTTTGTGGTAGAAAGGAGATGTCAGTGAGGGAATAAGCACAGGAAATCTCAAAAATAACCCAGAAAGCATAAACTCTCCAATTTCTTTGACTATAATTAAAAAAGAGAGAATGTTCAAATAAAATACAAAGTTCATTTCACAAATGCAAAACACATAGGTGCAGACAAATTAATCTTCCGCCCACAGTTTTGGGGGCTGTGTCATGTACTTTGAAGCCCTGGAGATTTGATTTGAGCTGAACTTGAAGACAGAGTAGGATTTACACGGGCCAGGGCGGGGGGGCAGGAGCTCAGGTGGCAGGAATGGCAGGAAGGAAGGACACGCTGGTGCTAAGGCGTGTGGCACATTGAGGGAATGGTCAGGAAAAAGGCTTTCCTGAGGAGAAAAGAGATATCGTTAAGGAGGCTTTACATGCCGGAATGAGCTAGTAGAAGTCCCAGAAAGTACTGCTTTCTGTTGCTATCATAGAATAGTTTAAAACTGTTCAGCTTTGTTCATTGTAATAAATTTTATTTGGACCACTTGATATCAGGCAGCTGTTCAAGTAAAAATACATTAGCTCTGTAGAACATTTGCAACAGATTTTAATATATAGTGCACATGAAAGCAAACTCAAAATAATGAAAGCTACTGTGTGTAATGTCACCGATATATTTTACTATATCTCTCCCCCCCCCTTTTAGGGAGAAGCTGGAGAGAGTGGCCCCAAAGGTGACACAGGCGAAAAGGTACAGTGTTGTAAAATATAAAAGAGTATGTATATGAGCAAGAAATATTATTTCATGTATGTGAACACAGAAGATTTTGAGACAGGTAAATGGGTGGTGGTAACTTAGTATGATAAGATGGGAAATAATTCTACAATTTTAGAGAACATTTGAATATCCAACTTATGAAGGTGATTGTTCCACAAACTCCTAGCTACAAATTTAAATATTTTTTTTATATTTTTTATTTATTTGACAGATAGAGACATAGAGAGAGAGGGATCACAAGCAGGGAGAGTGGGAGAGGGAGAAGCAGGCTTCCCGCTGAGCAGGGAGCCCAATGTGGGGCTCGATCCCGGGCCCTGGGATCATGACCTGAGCCGAAGGCAGATGCTTAATGACTTAGCCACCCAGGCGCCCCCAAGTTTAAATATTTTAAAAGTAAAATGGTATGTCACAAATTCTAGAAATGTGTAGCTAGGTTTGCAGTAATATGGCCTTCAAGGAAGAAAACCATTTATTCATGTGTAAGTCGGGCACTCCCTTGATACTCAGAGATACAAAAATAAAGTTTCTAAAGTGATTCCATTTGTTCCAATTTGGGGGGAGAAAAAGTCACAGGATTGGGATGAGATTTAAAAGTTTGAAAGTAAATGTCATTTGATTAGAGCCTCTAATGCAATCTTGAAAATTTGCCTTGACCTGAAATCTACTAAATCCAGATATTTTGTCAGCCTTTGTGTTGTCTTTTTATTTTTTAATCTTTTAAATCATTATTAGCATCTATATTACAGTGGTCTTGTGGCTCATCTTTCTACCTCTTCTCATCACCCCCTCCCTGTCTATCATTATAGCTTCTGCTTTGGCTTCATACTTCACAGATATCTCTAGCATAAGAAGGGTATTTCATTTCACTTGTGCTATAAAGGATTAAGAAAAAGATCTTTTAAGAAACTGAAAATAGAATAGGTTTTCATGAAAATCAAGCTAAGTAATTGAGTGATAAAAAAAGATTTATTCATTTAAGCTTAGAGTTGAGGATAAAAATATTTCACTTTGAAAATTATTACAGTACAGATGGATAATGGTTAGTCATAAAAGCATCCCCATAAAATAAAGAGAAATGTATCTTTCTCATTCTTATAAAGATTAATATAAATATGGCATGGATGGTAGGAATTAATTAATATCACCAAGTCACAGTTATGTTTGTATTCGAAGAGCAGTCCAGAAATTAGAGTGGACCCTCAATCTCTTGTAGACTGAGGTTTCTCACCTTCAGCATTATTGACATATTGGGCCAGATAATTCTTTGTTGTGGGGGCTGTTGGATGTTTAACATCATTCCTGGCCAGAGCAGCCGCTAGATTCCAATAGTTGTGACAACCAAACCTATCTCTAGACGTTGCCAAATGGCCCCTGGGACACAAAATCACTTCTAGTTGAGAACCATTGCTGTAGACCCATTTTATATACCTGTCAAATTTAATTATCATGCTACCATCAAATATGACATACTTATGCTTAATACTTAATAAGACCAATGGTATACTTTGATCACTCTTGAAGTCAGAATTTCAAACCCCAGATATATAAACTTGGATGTTATATTTAACTTTCTTGTTTATACTTAAAACCAGAGGTCAGCAAACTTCCTATTAAGGGCCAGAAAATAAGTATCTTAGGTTTTCTGGGCCTTGTGGTCTCTGTCACCACTACTCAACTCTGTTCTTACAGTGTGACAGCAACCATAAACAGTATGTACAGAAATGAGTATGGCTGTGTTCCAATAAAACTTGATTTCTGGGCACTGAATTTTTAATTTCATGAAATTTTCACATACCATGAAATATTCTTTGATTTTTTTTTTTTTTAGCCATGTAAAAATGTAAAAACCATTCCTAGCACATGGGCCACACAAAAGCAGGTGCTAGCTGGAGTTGGCCCACGGGCCTTAGCTGCCAATCTCTGCTTAAAGAAAGGAAATCTTCTAAACAGAGGGTGTTTTTTTCAAGTGAAAAAAGCCTATGCCAAGTCTGAACTACACCTATGTGGATTTCTGTAGAGAATTTTATGCTTTAAAAGAAGATGTATTTTTAAAGCTCCATTTTTGGAATGTAAGCCAATAATCATTTCTTTAATCACACATTTTTAAATTTCAATTTTCCAGTAGTAAAGCAACTTTTTTTCTTTGAAAAGATCTTATATTAAATCAAATCATTTACCATACCGACTCACATAGAGTAAACTCTCAATAAATGTTAGCTTTCTTACCACATGGAAATTGAAATCAACTAGATGGGCTGTTTTCTTTTTTATCAAAAATTTTATTAGTCAACTGAAATTAAGTACAAGAAATGCTTCAGTTAAAACGGAAATCATTTCTATAAATTTTCAGTGGGCCTAAAAGGGGATTGTAAATAAGAATCTGTAACGTATAATATGTAATCTGACCTGTAGTATTCATCCCGAGAATGCTATAATTGGAATATAATTTTTGATGTGTTTTTTAAAACATTTCCTGCTTCTGTCATATAATTTGTTTCCAGTATGTTGGAAACACTCTTCTCACGGCCTTTGGGTTCAGTATGTGAAACTCATTCATCATTAACCAAGTTTGAGATGTAAAATCAAAAAATGCTTTTTTTTTTCTGCCATTGAAGTAGTAAATTACGTCATTGACTGATTCACTTTAATAGGATTTTTTTTCCTTTTGATCCAACTCTGTGCCTTTGGATGGTAAAGCAATCTAAACCTTTCCAGACTGGTCATCTGGAAATGCTGTGGAACTGTAAAAACCACGAGGGTGGGTTTTGTCCCTGGCCAGCAACTGCAGTGCACTCCAGGCTTGAGAGTAACACACCAGAGAACGATTTCAATCATGTGTGGAGTTACTACGCAAAGGTCATGTTCTGCTCTTTGGAGCATTAATCCCACCAACAAATGTAGAAATGGATTTGTTATCTCTTTCAAGCAACTTGAAAGTAGGTGTTTCTGCAGCAAGCTGAATGGTTTGATCATGCCAATCTGTTATTCACAATTCAGTCTGCTGATTCGGAAGCTCCACCTTTCCGGTCTTGGGACGACCTGACAGGTGCCTTCACTTTCTCTGGTCCCTCAGTCTCCATTCCCGGAAACACACTGCCTTCTTGATTTATGCCTACATAGCATCTTTGATTTGCATCCTCTGAGCCTTTTCAGAAGCCGCATCCATATTTGGAGCTACCATCAAATTATCTCTCCTTAAAATCACATGTGAAGGTCTATCTCCGTGGGCCCCCACAGTCCCCCACCCCAGTCAGTGCGGGGCCCTCTCTAACTCAGCACACGTGGTTGCCTCAGCTTAGAACACTCCTACTGTCGTCTGTCCACTCCCACCTCCACAATCTATTCTTCAGTCCCCTGAGACCACCTTAATTTGTAAGTCATTTCCCTGGGGCAGCCTTTCGGTCTCCTCCAGATTGGTTAGGTTACCTACTCTATGCTCCCACAACACTCTTTAAAATCCCTTTCTTAACTGTTACCAGGGTTTATTGTCATTCCTTGTTTAACTGGACATCCATCCAGCTCATTGGGAAAGAAAAAAACACATAAATAAACAAAAAACCTATATGATGCCAAACTATTCCCAGCACCAATCCAAGTTCCTGGAACATACTTGTAAGATAATAAATATTTATTGAATAAAAAGTTTGTTTTCCTTTCAACTGCTTTTTATTTTCGTGGAACGGTAGAACTTTTTCCTGTGACATGCATTTGTTTATCATGTCTTCTGCTATATACAGAAATAACAGTATTTGCCAAACATGAGAATCTCTTCCTATTTTTTAAATTTTTCTTTAAAAAAATGAAAAGAAAGGAAGAAAAAGAAAGTATTTTTCATGCTTTCAATCAATAACATTTTTGTTTGTGTATATTAGTATGTGACTATCATGAGCACAGGCCAAGGGCGGGGACTGTAACTGCATTGCTCCCTGTTCTCACCCACCTCCCCGCATCCCTGCAAACAGAACACAGCTGGCTCATAATCAGTGCTCAACAAACACTTACCGAATGAATTAATGAATGATAAAAGTGTCACCACATTTACTTCATTTATCCACCTAGACTTTATTAATACATACATAACATTACATACTATTGTGTTTGAAAATAATCACGACCAAAAACAGAAACTCTCTGTGTTTGAATGATCAAAAGTCAAATTCATTTATCTAGAGTGTCTTCTCAAGGGATTTTCCCATTTGTGACTCGCCCTGTGGAAACGTGTTTCTAGACCAGCCAACTTAGGAAGCAAAGAGTGTACTTAAGACATAGTTGGGTTTTTCTGACTTTAATCCTGTATTCACTTTCACTTTTGGACGAATGAGGATTATAAGCACTGACTGTTTTATTTCCACTACTTGCAGGACTATCCTTTAAAATGTTTAACTTATGACTGTCTTTCAGCAGTTGTCTTGCCACTTAAAAGTTATAAAAATTCCTCGAGATTTCACAGTCTAAGTTTTTAAAAAGAGAATTAAAATATCACTCACAGTCCCCTCAAATGAAACTGCTCCAATTTCCACAAATAAATCAGCCTTTCAGGAAACTGTCTTTTTCTCTCCATCCGCTTTCTATGAGAACTAAATCTAGTCCTTAGTCTCATCGGTGGATTATCCAGCCACTTTCCATTAGGACACTAAAAATAAAAGGTTTTAAACTGCAGTTAACACAAGTGACTTCCTTTTATTTACAAGTTGACTGCAACTTTTAAGCCCTGTTGTCAAAATGAAATAAACCAATAATTCTCATTCTAATAAAAAGAACATGGCTATGGAACTTTGGAAGCCCAAAATTCACTTATCTTCTAGTTCCTTCAGTTTCCTTCTCTATTCCACGAAAATGGTAATATCTGCCCTATCTCATCGGAGTTTTATGGGGTATAAGTGAGATGAGAGAAGGGAGTTAACAAAGTCAAAATTGCTTTTAGGAACACAAAGGTCTTATTGCGCAAAATATTGCAAACCTGATTCATTGGTGTTGATAGCTTTCAGATTTGATTTAGTAGAAATAAGTATTATTTTATTAGCCACACCTATTTCACTCCCCATTAGGAACTCAGTGGAATGTTAATGATCAGAAAGAGAAGTCAGTATAAGACAGTATTCAGGGCCCTTATGTTTTGTCATGTTTTAATTTTTCCTTGGGTAATAACAATTACAGACATCAAAGAAGCTCACATATGTATCAGTCTCTTCAGTAAGTTGATTTATGATTTCCTTCTCTTTCCTAAGCTTTTCCCTCCTAAATTTTTTTTTCATTTTGATCCTTGACTGCTGACTTGTTTAAAACATTCTTTTTGAGATTTGTTCATTGATTTGCCATATAGGTATCGAGCATCACCTATGGGCTAAGCACTGAATAAAAATAGACACTGAATATGCCCCCATGTGGCTGATTGTCTGATGAAGGGACAGACAATGAATGGGCAGAAAATATAAATACGTAATTATGAAGTGAGCTATGCAGGACATGAACAGAGCTCAGTGCTGTGTGGTAGGATATTGTATGTGAGGGGCATGTGTCTGAAGTTGGTTGGTGAAGGGTTCTTTGAGGCAAAGCCACGTAAGCTGAGACCTCAAGAAAGAGAAAGTGCCAGCCTGGAGAAGAGGTGGGAAGAATTGAGCGAGGGGGACCAGTGCTCCATGGACAGAGGCCTGAGGCCTCATCTGTGTCTCTAAAAGAGAGTAATGAGCAGCTTCCCAAATCCAGAACAAGGAACCAGATCCCTGGAGCTCCTTGAACACTTGCATGGATATGACAGCTGAAGAAATTCCAGTATGTACCTTCCTCCTGTGGCAGCTCCAATTTTCTCAACAGTCTCAAACGGCCAAGTTTTCTCCCTTTTTTTTTTGCTTGTAGCATGTTCATGGGACAGGGGGTTAGAAGGAGTTTGAAAACCAAGGCACTTTTGTTGGCCTCATTTTAGAAATAGATGGGCATTAAGGAGGGCACGTGATGTAATGAGTACTGGGTGTTATACACAACTGATGGATCATGGAACATTACATCAGAAACTAATAATGTACTATATGGTGGCTAATTGAATTTATTTTTATTATTATTATTTTTTATTATGTTATGTCAATCACCATACAGTACATCATTAGTTTTGATGTAGTGTTCCATGATTCATTGTTTGTGCATAACACCCAGTGCTCCGCGCAGAACGTGCCCTCTTTAATATCCATCACCAGGCTAGCCCATCCCCCCACCCCCCCTCCCCTCTAGAATCCTCAGTTTGTTTCTCAGAGTCCATAGTCTCTCATGGGTAAAAAAAGAAAGAAGCAACATTCTTGACTAACCTCCATATTCTTTTCCACGAATCCCTCTCTGCTGATTTTATAAGCCTATTTGCTTTGGGAATGTAGTCACCCTCTGTGGTATCCCGATGGAGTACAGTACCTTTTAGGAAAGCAGATTCTACCTCAAGATTTTCTCTCAGGTCTTACATATGTCCCTGCCACCCAGGAGTCATCCATCATCCTGTAATTTTCCGGTGACTGGGTCACAATGAAATAAGTGTAAAGCTAGAGAAAATGTGCTGGTCGTAACTGTGACAGTGCTTCGTGAGTTAAACAAACCGACCTGCTACGTGGCTTTTTCCAGCTCGACATCATTAACCCTTTGACTTCATCTGTTGAACCCTGACTTTCTGAAGACGGAGAGGGTCAAGGAACTCCCAGTAACTGAGAGCCCGTCACATGCATACGTTCCAGGAATAGAGAAAACCAAAATTCCAGATCTCAAAATTGTAATTTATTACTTTAGAATACACTTTTAGCACTGTATCAAGGGAAGAGATACATATTTATATGTTTCTATTGACCTCAAGGAATATAGCCCTTAAGTATTTTGCATTCAAAAGAAACCCATGTCTTTATTTTTTTATTTTTTATTTTTTTTAAAGATTTTATTATTTATTTGACAGAGAGAGATATAGCGAGAGAAGGAACACAAGCAGGGGGAGTGGGAGAGAGAGAAGCTGGCTTCCCGCTGGCTTGGAAATTGTTGACATCTTAACAGATGCCGTGTTGGTGTGGTCTTATGGAGCATAGTCAGGCCTGTTAGTCATGGGACTCCTTTGAGTGCCATGTTGATAATGGCTCTCTGTGTGCTTCTGTGTTTCCTATTCTCATAACTTGTACACTAATCTCTCATGGGTTTTGTTTTAGGGTGACCCTGGATCATCTGCTGCAGGAATTAAGGTAACTATAACCTTGTAGTGTTTGTACCCCAGGAGTTACAGTTTTGAATTTTATAAACCTCTGCTTTCTCTTCTTTTGTACCAGTTTTGATGGTTATAACTGTTTTTATTCTTCTGCAATAATCAGCTCCCAAACTCAATAGGGAGTATCTGCTGGAAATCTGATAAAGGCTTAAATAAGAGGTCTTGCCTTCACTTCTCTCTGCAGTTGGATTTTATGGAAATGGGGATTTGTTATGTGAGCTGTAGGTATGATCACAGCAAAAAAAAAAATTCCTGTCTCCGGTGAGATATAGAGTAATAGAATAAAGTGAATGAAATGCATGTGATCAAGAAGGCTAGGCCATCTCTGTGAAAGTGTCCAGGGGCCTAAAGGTTTTGGAAAACTCTTGTAAGATTGTTTTTATCATCTTTGGTTTTCTTTTGGCCAGGGGGAACCTGGAGAATCTGGTCGTCCAGGGCAAAAGGTAATACGTGTCTTCTAGTGTGTTTTTTGTACTGCCTCATATTTGCCATTTTATACCTACTATCCACTGTGTGATATGAAAACAATTATTGGAAAATGATGTAGTTTTCGTGCTTTGCATGCAGAATGTTATTGATTGTTTTGCATTTTAAAAGGGTTGATGCTGACCATGGCAAAATAGAAAATGCCCTGTACATGTAAAAAAGACGCTTTATAAACTAAGGTCTGCATATACTCAGCTGTCTGAGGCTAACAAAGATCAGTCAGGTTGGAATGCCAACAACTTATCTTGCATGTTTAAAGTTACTCTGCATGTTTCTATCATTCATGAGAAGAAATGAATATTTACTAAACTGTTTCAATTGGGAATGATAGCTTCTTATATTCCTTTTCCTTTCATTTCAAATACTTCCCTACTGATAATTTTTTTTGTGTGAATTGTATCTACCTATGCAGTGAATGTTATGTTATACAAACCAGAGTTGTTAATAAACGAAGTTTTAATTGGAGACACTAGCCAAGCACTTTAACCAATCTGTGAATACATACATGGATTTCTTTTAATCATTTGTACTTCACTTCAGTGATAAATTAGAGGATATGCAGTGATAATGTTTAGATTCGTATTCTCATTTGAGTCTGAGGCAGGAAACAACTGTTAGCAGTTTGTTGTCTGAGCATCTGGATATCAGTGCCCAGTGCTGTCAGATTTTAGGTGACAGATGTGTTGGAGCTAACGAGTAAATGTGAATTCCACATTAGGTTAAATCTCTTAAGATCATGACTCTCCCTTTATCTAGCAATAGCTGATGTTGTAGGAAAAAATATGATTAGAGACATAGAATCTACCTCATTAGTGTAAAGGAAAAGAAAGAATAAATCTCATTATAGGAGTTTGGAATCCTAAGACCTGGTAAAATAATGTTCTTACACTCTTGAAGTCACTGGGAGGATGATTGCTTTGTTTTAAACACTTAGGATTAAAGTAATTTTTGAGCAGGTCTTTCATGTTCTTTTAAAATTCCCTTTAATTTAAAAATAGAGTTTTATTTTGAAACTCAGGCTGTAAGAGTAATGATTCATCACGCCCAGTTTCAGGTAAAGTTCAGACTTTTCCAAAGAGCCCAGCAGAATTCTGCAAATTTTGCTATTTAATTCCTAAGATTTCCTACTGATTCTTTATGTAAGAAATTTGAAATCAACGGTATCATCAGAGATCCGTGGTCTGCTTTGGCTTGAAAAAGCAAATAATCTTCTCAGATGATCTAATTTTAGGCCCCTTCATCTTTAAAAATTAAAGGCTAAATTTAAACTGCTCTCCAAATATGTGATATACTAAAAGAAATGTCTGCAGGACGATTATGCCCTTTTAACAAAACAAAACAAAACAAATCTGCTATAATTTTGCATAGGTTCCACTTTTCAGAGTGGAAGATCCAAAATGATTTTCAATTGCTTAATAAAATATTGCCTTATCATGATTATTTAGAAATACAGTTTAGAGTCATTCCTGGAAGTTTATAGGTTTACATATGGAAACACTGGATTTCCTTTGTATTTCATTAAAAATCTGCTTTAAATTATATGGAGAGAAGGGGTGGATTCATTAAAAGCTCACAACCTATCTGAATGAGTACGTGCCCTGAAACGAACAGCGTTTTTTTCATCGATATTTAGGCCAGATTCTCTCCTTTGACGCAATCTCACTTGCCCACAATATTTATGACTTCCTTTGTCTAATATCAGGATTTGGCAATACTTACCCAAGCATTGCTTTAAAAGTAGAGTATTCCCATGCTTGCCGCTTACTTAAGATTAGAAAATGACAAGCAGAACTGAGTACAGAATCAATTCAAGAGATCTTCCATGGCATTTTCCTCATCATTGAAGAACTGTGTTGTGGATTCTAAACTTAAACTCCTGCATGAGGGACATTCCAGAAATGTAGAGTATCGTGACAGAATGAAAAGCCCATTGATGAGCTTTCCACTGTCTGGTGTTGTCCAATAATGTAGAATGATTTCATCATCGTTTTTTTTTTTCTTTGATAGATTCAACAGTAAAGTGTATGATTGCTACATGAGTTAGAGTCTGTATTTATGTTTGTAAACTGAATGTGTAGATTTGTAAAAACAGATATTATGTTTCATCACATAGTTCTTTCTAACTTCTCTGCATCTTTTTAAAATATATTTTTTAATTTTCAAGGGATAAAAATACTTGATCCCGCTCTGGAAGGGATCCTGCCAGTTGAAGTATATCTAAAAGTACTGGGGACAAAAGCAGAATCCCAACTTTGACAGCAGACAAGGGTCTCCTTTAATAGAGGGTAAAGAGTCAAAGGGAAAGGAGAAGTATAATATGTAAAGTTTAATCTACTTGGACAAGTATTCTTTGAATGGAAGAACAAACCCATTCTTAATTATGACCCAGATCTGACCTTGGGCCATTCATACCCAAGGCCTCAACCCAGAGAAGCTCCTGGGCCAAGAAATAAGCAAGAGTGGAGAAGTCAATAAAAACTGTGTCTCACTGGAAGACAAGCCTTCATGGTATAAATACAGGGAATTTATATAGGACGAAAAGTCTTCCTAAGAATGTTGAGATGTTCCACAAAGGGTAACATTAAATATTTTATAATCTTTCATTGCATTGACTACTACATTAAGTAAACATAAATTTGGGAAGTTCAAATCCTTTCTGAAATATTTTTCCTTTAAAAAGTCCATTTAATAAGGTAATATAAATACATACCTACATACATACACATGTAATATAAGGAACAGCTAAATGCTAAAGTCTCTGTAAGTATTCAACCTACATTGTAAAATATCCCATAAAGTTTCATTCATATTTCTCATTTTCTCATTTTCAGGAAACATGGGCGTGTGTCTGCGTATGCATGTGTATATATATATATCTTTTTTAAAATAGTCATACAATCCTTTTAATATGGTGAGAGGGAAGTGTATGGTGAGAACTTCTGCAGGGAAACAGTGTTACGACCGCTGTATTTTCACACGTTTCAAACTCAGGATGCCCTGAGTTTCAGGGGCCTTTCCGAAAAAAATACAAAACTATAGATTTGTCACCAATAGGTTTACTTTTATTGGTTGTATATTCTACTGCAGTTTACTGTATATTCGAAGGCCTTGTACTTTTCTTTTGTCTTTAATAGTATTACTTTCATATCGTGAAGAGCCATAATTTGCTCTGGTATTATCATTACTTTTAAGTAAAAGAGAATCTTCAGTAAAATATGGATGCAGCCCTTCTACTGGATCTTCTTAAAGTTATCAAATGAAGGGCAAAGGGGAAAGAAAAAAGAAAATCAAATGTATAATGTATAATGTGTCTTTGGGAAGTTTAATCCACTTGGACAAGTATTCTTTGAATGCAGTCTCAAATTCTTAAGGATCATTCTTTCTTCTCTGGTGTAACCTCATCTTAGTCTTACTGTTCACTGTACAAAATTTGAGTTATATAGTTTCAAACAGCATTGCTTTTCTTTTGCATTCCTGAAGTACCTGTGACCTAAACCATCAGGATAGTCATTGTTCCCTTTATGTCTAACCATGCGGCTTAATAAACAGTCTCTGGAGTCATTTTTTGATAATACCAGAGCAAATTATGGCTCTCCATGATATGAAAGTAATACTGTTAAAGACAAGATATCTGATTGTAGGTTTTCCTTGGAATGAGGATTATTAAAGCATTTAGATGAAAAGAAGTGTCTCCCTTTACCACTTTTATTTAGTTTAATGCCCTAGTCTCTTTTAGTGTAGTTGTCTGTCCCACTGACTGACCATTTTGAAACAGCGTGTGCCTTTGACCCTCAAATGTTGTTTCCACAAATAATAGTCACCTCAGTCCAATATAGGATGGACTTTCATTTTCCCCGGTGATTCCTTTATGCTCCTTTAGTGGAATTCAGGAGATTTTCTAAGCAATGTAACCTCTTGTCACTATACTTGGTACTTAAAATAATGTAGACAATTCTGTGAAAATGAGATTTAGCTTGACTCCAGTGTGCTCACACAAAATGTACCACTTAATCTCAAACCTGTATTCAGGAACAGCTGCATGCATGGTACCATTAGCCCTAAATTGCTAAGCAGGGTTACCCAGACTCAACAATTGTCAGAAATACAGGCTGGAGTTAAGTATAATCTTAACCATGCATTTATCTTCTCATCATTCAGGAATGGAAAAGAAATCTTACTATACTTTTAAGTGAGCAAGACTTTTAATGTATATTGTTTTGATGTGACCATCTGTTCACACAGCCAACTCTTGATTATCTGAGGTAAGACAGCCCGGGAATAGGATGCATTATTCAAATGCATACATAATCCTCATTTCAGCAAAGAGCTTCAGCTTCCGCAAGAAATCACTTACCAGGGAATAATAAAAAGTAGGAGTTCCTTTTCCTTTTACTTCTCTTGGTTGCCTTCTGGTCGAATTGCTAATGAGCAATGAGATGGCAGGAAGAGAGAAAACCCTGAAAAATCTGCAAAATGGTCAACCAATCCCTGAATCAAGAGTTGACTGAATTGTATAATCTCACCAAAGTTCTTAAAACTAGACAGTATTTATATATGTGTGTATATATATATATATGTATATGTGTATATATATATGTATATACATATATATATAGCAAGTATTCAGTTAGGAACATTTGCCATGTTTTTCTCCAGATACTATGACTGAGTGACTATTGTTCTATAATGCTATGTGATTTTCCTGTGTAGGGTGAACCAGGGCTTCCTGGGCTTCCTGGACTTCCGGGGATAAAGGTAAATACTGCACTGACAGTCTCAGCTTCATAGAACTGTAATTGTGAAAGTCACAGAAATCAAAGGAAAATAGGTAAAAATGAAAACTAAAAATATAATGCTATTCTTTAAATACTCTCCAGCCATCTCAGTCAATTAAATTTTTTAAATCGAGGGGCGCCTGGGTGGCTCAGTCGGTTGGTCATCCGACTCTTGATCTCAGCTCAGGTCTTGATCTCAGGGTCATGGGTTCGAGGCCTGCATTGGCATTTTTAAATTGAAAACTAGGCACAGGTATTGCTGACGTTTGCCATTGCTATCTGGACTGTATATTCTACTATTAGAACCTACTATGCCACTTGAAAAAATGTAAGTGCCACATAGGAATTCTTTAAAGTCTAGAATGTCCACTTTCACGTTTTAATTTTATTCTTAACATCCTGTCAGATTCCGACTGGAATCAGAGTCTTAACATCCCCATAAATCGAACATTTAGGCAGCTGTTTTTGCAATCCATTCATTGTAACAATCGCTCTAAAATATTTTCTGCTTCCACTTCCTGTCAGTAACTCTCACTGCAAAGGACAAATCAGATGACTATTCTGACCCATATACTATTTCCATAAACTTTGTGTGTATCTTTTGAAATAATTGCTTAAAGCTTAGTTTGAAAACATTGTTTTACATGTTTTAAAACCATCTAAAAATGTCAAGAAACATACATTTTTTTTAATTGCTTAAACTTTTTCACATGGCAACTGACAAGGCTTAAAGTTCTACTGCCTTAGCAGTGTTGACTCCTTTAAAATCTGCTTTCTAAAGCTTAAAAGCTTTAAAGTGCTTTTTTTTTCATTCTAGAACAGTTTGATAGAGTAACATAACACCAGTATATTTTTCCTTACATTGTTCTCATAGATTTTGAATCAATCTTTAGTGTGCATTAGACCATTCTAAAATGAAAAATCCTAGTTTCATTGTGAGGGTTATGTATACTGTTTGATGAAGGTTGTGTTTGAAGTATGGTACATGAAATAATACGGCTTTAGAAATAAACTTGTTAAATTATTGAGTTCCCCAGACATCGTATGGTATTATATATTTTATGACTTTATTCGGTATAAGTAACAGACATGAAAACTGTGTTTTTCAGGCTAGCAGTCAGAAATTTCTGCTTGTTGTTTGATGTTTCCCGATTAGTATCATGGACATTCAGATATGTCCTTTTAATATATTTTGTCTTTAGCTTCCTCAGTGAAAAAGTACACTGTATGAGAAAGCTTACTAAAGGGCCAAAGTCTTTTCCTTATCACTTGATATTTAGCATAATAATTAAATATGTGATTTCATATTGTAGAGTTAATTTATGGCAGTTCCTTAGTAATTCCCACACATTAAAAAAAGAGCCTTTTACAAATGATTGGGAGATCATAGATGTTTAAAACAAATTTAAGAAAATTATACTCAACATGAGTTAAAAAGAACATTGTTAACAGCATTATAAATAAGGGGGAAGGCATTAGAAAAGAGGGACATTTGGGAAGGGCTGGGGGAGGGCTTCCTGCAGCACCCACCCCTAAGTTGGCAGGGCTGTACTTCCACTGCCCGGCTAGTGTGTGCAGGTACCTCAGCGCTGCATTGAAATGCGCTTGTCCCTTCTCCTGAGTATGAGGCACCATCTTGGTGAGAAAGATTATGTAAGGGTGAAGGTGTTGGCGTTTTTCCCTCCGAAACAAACAAAAACCAATTTGAATTACTCTATTTGTTATCATTACCTCTTATTCATTTTATGTCTTCCACCACGAAAAATATCCCATGGCCTTTCCCTAGTCATATGTGACCTTTTGAACTTTATGACCTATTTTGAACTTTTTCAAATTGGGAAGAGTGTTGGTGATTTGTCACCTCCAGTAAACTGGAGGTTTATTGGACACTTTTATTCCAAGCGTCCTAGGACGTTGCCAGATGTATTTTGTCAAGGTCATATAGCTGATATTTTCCTTTGTTTTTTAAACCTCGACTGTGATTGTTGTGATAAGAAGCTATCAATTGACAAAACCTTTTATCTTTCACTAGAGATCCTTTTCTATGCAATTAGCAAGTGCTGTTGGGGAATTACCCAGTATTTGATTTAAATCACAGATTCTGTTTTTGGTTTAATTAGCTTTGTCTTCTCGCTCTAGTTCAGGATATGAGCAATGTTCTTTATAATGTAGTAGGTGCTCAGAATACAGAAGTCATCTTGTGAAGGAGACTATTTCAGAACACAAAGTCATTAGCAGGCATTGGATATTTATAAATGTAGAGTTACAAGTTTATAATCTTACGATATAGCTTCATTAACTTGAGCTGTTCTTTATTCTTTCAATATACCTTGCTTCTACTCAGTTGCTAGCCACAGGATAGTTAATCATGATTTCATAGTTTGAATGAGTAACAATATTTAAAAGATGAAACCACATGTATGGATTTAAAAACGTGTGGTAGCAAGAACTTGTGTGATAGTTCATGCTTTGGAAATACTTCCTGTTGCTATTCATCCCCTTCTTCTCTGCTGGTACTACAGAGAGCATGCAAATGCCATCCGTTATTTTACAAGACATTGAGGAAACCAGCCATGACATACCAGGGAAGCTTTGATTCACCACCTGTTGCTCTCAGGGAATGGTGGGGAACTTAATGAGCACCCAAATGCCTTCCACACAGCTCTTAGGAAATGAGCAAAGTGCCTAAATGCAGACAGCAGACTCATCTATCTATCACCTCAGAGTCCCACTCAGAGAAAAGTGCTGATACCTTGGGCATACATAATAAAAGTCACCAAGAACAGGCATACCTTAACTTCAAACTACTCTTAAGCTTCCTGCACAAGTATTGGAAAGTTCTCTCACCATGTGGAAGACATTTGGAATTCCTATTTCATGCATTCATGGTTCATATAGTGTCAAGATGTTCAACTGGGAAAATTAAATTATGCACAATGTACCATGCAGACATTGATCTTCTGGAATAAGCTCAGAAAATGATTTTTATAAACAAGGCTTCATACATGTTTTTCATGGGTAAAACTTACTGTAACTAGCTTTCCTGATATCACATAAAAGGGTAAGATCTGAAGTTCCTATTTAAAAAATTTTTTTCTCTCCACACTTATTTTGAAAAATGTAAATATGTTACTTACCCCTTTTATGATTACATTACCCTAGTAATGAAGCGGTATAGAGCAGTGATCAAGAGACCTGACTTTAGAGCCAGACCACCAGTGTGCGGGTCCTAGTTCAACCCCTCACCAGTAATGAAGCTGTATCATGACATTGGGCAAGTTACAATCATCTCCCTGTCCTCTGGTTTCCTTATAAAATGAGAATCATCACTGTACATAACTCAGAGAGTTGTGTATATTAAGTGAATTAATATATGTGCAGCTCCTAAAATATTGCCAAGCATACAGTTAATCCTATATAAATTTTAACTATTACTCTTTCTTTCTCTTAGAGCAGCTCAGAATATTGGAAACATTGGTTATGTACATGTTCAATATAGTCTTTCCTCATGTGAATAATTTTAACCTGGAGAACATAAAGCCATTTACATTCTATAGGTTAAAAGAGGTAAATTCTGAAAACTCCTTTGCTGTGATGGATGAATGTTACCTTTAAGAGCAGTAAGAAACCTACTTTTTCTTGAACATCACACTATTCCCCTTTTCCTATAACTCAGACATATTCCAGGAACAAAGGATGAAGGAACCATCTGGGCATAAGACATGGTACTGTCAAAATTCTCCTTCCTACACTGTTCACAAGAGAAACTGGACATGTAATGAGGAAAATTTTCTAGGCCCCAGTCATAGTGTTACTTGGACCAAGACATTTTTTACAAATATGGATTTTCAATGAGTGCTTTTCTCCTTTCAACAGAGACCACCAGTTTATCTCATTATATTCAGAAAGTAAATTGGAAAAAATTTATATAACACAGTAAAATTAATAGCGTAGGGAAACATAATACAGTAAAAATTACATCGAATGAAAAAAAGCTTTTAGGTGGCAAAAAAAATTTTTAAGTATTTTCCCTCAAGCTTGATAGTTTTCTTCTGGCTTCCACATTAGTGAAAATTTGACATTCAGATTAAGAATTTGAGGATTGGGAGGGTATGAGATAGTAACTAGTTCTTTATACCTCATTATATGAAATCATCGTTGCCACCAAATCATATAAAGGCTAAGCTTTACAGGTGGCAAGAACATTTATGTTGGCATTCTTAGGATTAATTACAGTGTTCAATAATCTAATAGAAATTTACCATCTAAATCCACTGGAGATGAGGTTCCTAACTCAGAAACATCAAGTCACATTTTAAAAGCGAGAGGGGAAAGTTTTTGGAAGTAACAGAGAATGTGAAATGTATTCCTAAAAGAAAAAAGAAAAGGAAGAAATACTGGTTAAAAGGATAAGATTGTGTTATTGTTACTTATAATTATTTCCTTCCTGCACAGAGTGTGTCTGAGCAGCTGAGTAGTTTAAGAATCCAATTAGGAAACTCATGCAACCAGAAATCAGAGATTTTTTAGCAGCCATAATGAAACCTCCAATAAATATACTGAATGTGTTTTCATGATGTAATCCTGTTAAGAAAAAAAAAAAGCAGAAAGGTATGTTTCTGAGTTTTAAATAAACCTACTATTGCAGTTCATTTTCATCATATCACCAAGATGTTTTAATTTATACTCAAATTTTATCCTTAAGGGAAATAGTGTTTTTGGGACAGACTACTTTCTCATTCTTTTTTTTCTCCCCTCAATAATTTTACAAATCAATCATTACAAAAACTAGCTGCCTGGACGTTCTTATTACAACAAATGTTCTTGCTGTAATCCTCAGAAGCAGGTATCATGCTGACTTGAATTCTAATTAGCCTTTAAGCAAGAAGAATACTGTATGGCTAATGCATTCAGTGTCAAGACACATTAATCAAAATTATTGGTGATGCTTTAGCACCCAGGCAAATCAGCACATATTTT